AAGCGATTCTCGAGTTTTATAAAACGATTTCTCCAGTTTTATAAAACGATTCTCGAGTTTTATAAAACGATTCTCGAGCTTTATAAAACGATTCTCGAGCTTTATAAAACGATTTCTCGAGTTTTATAAAACTGTTCATTTTGTATTCTTGCGGAAAGTTTTGGCTATTAATTCCGTCGTACCGATTTTGACCCCAACACCTGCACAATGAACACAAGTCAAGCTTAGCCAAATAAGATAAGCACACGCCTAGTTAGTATATACTTTTGTTAGTTGCAAATAACCTAAGGTATGTAGTATATATACGTATGTTGTGATATCAAGTACGTAAGATTGGAGGCTATGGTTATTTTGGTATACCGGCTATTTGACGTTGTAGAACACTTGAGTTTTCCTATCTTGCGATCTGGTTTTCCAAAAAGGGATTTTAAGTGCTTGTGTAATCTTTCTCTATTAGTGAAGTGTTGTGGGAAGCGATTCCCACCCGAGACGTATTGGTTAGAGGCCAGGAACTCGGTGATCAATTCTTGTGTCATAAGCTAACAGAATTATAATCTAATTCACTAAACAAAACTTACAGACTGCTTGTGTGTTGAGACCGCTTCGGCAGGAATCACAGCACAAAAGCTTCTTTGTTTTTCTCAAATGAAAAAAAACTTTAACAAGAGACTTTCAATGAAAAACTCTCCTATAAAAAATAGGAAAAATATTATTACTTTGATGAGAATCTCTTCTAGATGCGGATAACTAGAGTTTCTCCTCAAACTAAATTGTTTTCACAATGCCGGTGGATCAAATTAATAAAGACTCAAACTGCAAAGAAGATACATTGTTGAAATAGAAACATTGTATAATCATATAATATATTACAGGAAAACCCGACAGAGAAAGCTGGTTTTATAATTTTTTTGAATGGAATCTATTCGGTCCCTGCGATCTTCTTCTTCAAGGAATCAATATCCTCAGCCAACTCCTTTCTGCTTGACTGAAACAAGATTTTCAGAGACATCATGTGAGTTTCGTTGATGCTTTTATAAAAAAGTTAGTGGCAGTTTTGTTACCTTGAAGAGAAGGTATCTGTAGACAAACCATCCTGTGTAACCAAGACCAACAAGTTCCATAACCTTTGGAAGCTACACTCAAAACAAACATCATTAGACAAGTTAACACTTTCTTTCTTTGATATTTAAAAAAGGTTAAAAGAAGATTGTTTAGTTACCAGAGGAACAGAGTTGATGGCACCAACAACAATGGAAGATAACCAAACAGCAACAACGGCTCCTCCTCCGTAGATAACCACAGTGGTCTTGTTCTCAAGACCATCCCACTGCACCATAACCAAAACACAAAATTAATCAACTCTGTCTTTTTTTCTTTGGTCGATCACAACCTNAGGTTAAAAGAAGATTGTTTAGTTACCAGAGGAACAGAGTTGATGGCACCAACAACAATGGAAGATAACCAAACAGCAACAACGGCTCCTCCTCCGTAGATAACCACAGTGGTCTTGTTCTCAAGACCATCCCACTGCACCATAACCAAAACACAAAATTAATCAACTCTGTCTTTTTTTCTTTGGTCGATCACAACCTTTTATACCTTTTCTTTCAAGTCTGTGAAGAGTTCATTGGTGTCAATGGCCGTTGAGGTCTCGTCTGATGAAGAAGCTCTCGTCTTCATCAACTCAACCTTGTGTAAACCACCATCCCCTGCGATTAAACCGGATAATTTCAATGTTCTGAAATTGAACCAACTGGTTTGAAAGCGTTGAGCAGCTTACACCATCCATAAGGGATGATGGAGATTATAAACCGGATCAATCGAACTGAATTTCGAATTTTAACCGGTCCACTATATCATACCAAACCGCTGCATCAATTAAAATTAAATTCTGGGGGAAATAAAGCGGTCACCTGAAAATAGCGTCACCGGAACAGTGTAAGAGGAACGGCCAAAAGAGCGAGGAGGAAGGTAAGGAACGGCGGGGCAGCGGGCGGATACGGCAGGGACACGTGGAATCATCACTGCCATTGAGGACGAAGCTGCTGCTACTGTCATCGCCATCCAAGCACACTGATAATTTCTTCTTCTTCTCTAATTTCTCCACACACGATTTTTTGTGTTTTGTTTGTTCTGCTGCGCTTTTGACCAGACAAGATTTCGTGTAGCGACACGTGGACAGTCCTCTTGCTCTTATTGGTCGATGCTTTATCTTCAGAAATCCTACTCAGTGGTGATTATAGAATACTCGCATTCTGCGGGATTTAAAGCCTCTTTTAGGCCCATTTAAAAAGCGGACCTATTAATGGTATTTTTGATCACCTTTGATTCTTGTGTCGAGCTCATACTTAGGGTAGGGATGTGAGATCACTCAGAAAAGAGGAAACAGAGCACTGAACTTTTTTTTTTTGTAGACATGATGAGATTCATTATTTTTGGATTCAGTTTTAAGAAATCATAAACATAATTAATTTCACCCCAGTACAAAAACCTTAATATATTACTCCCTTCGTTTCGAATTAATTGTCATTCTGAAAAAAAAAATCGTTTCAAAATAAGCGTCGTTTTCAAGTTTTGAGACAAAATTTATTAGTTTTATATAATATTCTATTTTTCTATTGGTTGAAAAGTGGTTAGGTGTATAGGTAATTGTGTTTTTTTCTTGAAAATATGTAAAATTAAATGTTTCTTTAATATGTGTGCAAAAATGTAAAATGACAATTAAAATGAAACGGATGGAGTATAAAACTAGGGGTTTACCGTCGCTACACGCCGGATTTTATAAATTACTAGAGATTTTATTTGCGCTATGAGCGGATTATGTATTTTAAATTTATTAAACTTTTAGTTTTGTAATATACTATTTTGTTTGCGTATGTCTTTATTTTAAAAATATTTTTATCAGTTATATTTTTACCAGTTTTGATGAAATTTTTTTTTTTTACTTAGTTTTGTGCTATAAATAAGAATATAACTTTCTATTTTTTTTAAAATATTTATCACAAAATTTTTGTTATTATAAATTAGATTTGAAATTTATAAAACAAGGAAAATGAATGATCTGACTAATACCTTAATAATAAGGAATGTAATTTTGCATTTATTTTTATTTTTCTGTACCATTAATCACCACTTATTTTGAAAGTTGTTAAACTTTTAGTTTATACCTACTGTGTACTATTTTGGTTGAATATGCTTTTATTTAAAAAAGATATTTCTTAGTTATATTTTTACATGATGTGACAAAGTTTTTGCATAACTTCGTACTTAATTTTCTAATATAAATTAGGAATATAACTTTCTAATTTTTTTAATCTTTATCACAATAATTTTTATCATATATTAGATTTGCAATCTATAAAAACTGGAAAATGAGTAGTCTGACTAATACCTTAAAATAAGGAATGTAGTTTTGCATTATTTTTTTTTTCTAAACTGTTAATTTCTATTTATCTCTTAAATTTCTTTTTTTAGTCTTATAACTACTACTAGATTTTGACCCGCGCAACCGCGCGGGTTTTGTTTTCATATATATATATATATATATATATATATATATATTTGTTTTATATCATTAATAACGTTAGTTATATGTTTAAATGTTTATATAACTATTACAAACACAATAATTTTATAGTTTGTATGTTAATATCAAATGTTTCAATAGTTTCTTATTATATATTTATCTAATTGGATTTATATTTAATTATTAATATTAATATATGCATGAAAAATCATATTTGAAAATTATTTTATATTTAATTTATACTAAATTATTATCCGAGTTTCAAAGTTAGATTACCGTTTAGAAATTTTTTAATGTTTATAAAGATAATATGATATTATAAGAGTTTAGATATGTTAATTTTATACATGTATTTATAGTTACTAATGTTAATCCTTTCTGCCAATATATTATATATTTTTAACATTAATATTTTCTATTTATGAAAATAAAATTGATTAATTTATCAATTTAATATAATTTATAACATTCACTTTATTATAATAATTTCATTTAATTTGATAGTTTATAATTATTAAATAGATAAAAAGAATAAAATTTGTTTGCATATATATACATATATATATATATATATATATATATATATTAATGTATAATTATTTTCATTACTAATTCGAAATTATATTCAAGTTATTAATTAGTGGAATATTTATATAATGTTTTTAAAGTTAAGATCTTGCTAAAATCTTTTCAACAGATTTTTTAAAAAGAATTAATACATATTTATATTTAAAATAAAAAGATATCAAAAGATATTATGATTGAAGTGGTTACAAAGAAATAAAATATATTTAATAAATTTTTTTTGTTAATGGTCCAAATAAAAAAAAATCACACATGAAATGAGTCATGACTTCTCTTTTAATAGAGTAGATTTATATTTAAAATAAAAAGATATCAAAAGATATTATGATTGAAGTGGTTACAAAGAAATAAAATATATTTAATAATTTTTTTTGTTAATGGTCCAAATAAAAAAAAATCACACATGAAATGAGTCATGACTTCTCTTTTAATATAATAGATGTAAAATTTTGTTTGAATATGTCTTTATTTATAAAAAAAAATTATTAGTTATGTTTTTAAACGGCTTGGCAAAAATTTTGCATAATTTCTTCTTTAGTTTTCTGCTATAAAGTAAGAGTATATCTTTCTAATTTCCTTTTTTAATCTTTATTACAACAATTTTATTATTATAAATTAGATTGGAATATTTAAAACCAAATAAAATGAGAAGTTCGACTAAGACATTAAAAAACTAATTTAATTTTGCATTTTTTTTTATACCGTTAATCTCCACTTATCTCTTAAACTTGTTAAATTTTTAGTTTTGTAGCTATAGTATAACCTCTTTAAATTAATACTCTATAAATTAATATACACTAAAAATATATATAAAATAATATAATTTTATAGTTCCAAATTGAGTTTTTGGTTCAGTTAGTATATCGATAAATTAATAATCACTATAAATTAATAAAAAATTATGTACAGTTTTGTTTGACTATGTCTTTATTTTAAATAGATTTTTAATAGCTCAGAGATCATCTATGTACCAAGAACACATAACTCACATACAGAGCTAAGAAACAATCGTCTTTTGTCGTTCACATGGATGCAGAGCTACCTGTTTGGTTCGCAGAGTCTACATGAGTTTGTTTGTTTGATGACAAACAAAATAGATTTTTAATAGTTATATTTTAACAGTTTGATGAAATTTTTGCATAATTTATTACTTAGTTTTCTGCTATAAATTGGGAATATTATTTCTAATTTTTGTTATTGTTATTATGAATTAGATTTTCAATCTATAATATCAGGAAAAGTGAGAAATCTAATTTTTGTTACATTGGTTATTCTATTCCGGTTTGTTTACCTAGGTTACCTAAAATTTGAATAGAATAACCGTTTTGATGTAAAAAAAAAAAAGACTAACACCTTATTAACATGGAATGTAGTTTTGCTAACATTTTCTATGCCGTTAAATTCCACTCATATTATGATTTTTGTATTTAAAGTTTTCTTCTAGTTTCTTTATAAAGTTCTGAATAATGTAAATGAAGTAACTGAATACGTTCTTATTAATGATGTTGAAGCTCAAAGTTCTAGTTTCATTATAAAGTTCGGAATAATGTAACCGAAGTAACTGAATACGATCTTATTAATGATGTTGAAGCGAGTAAAAATTTGGTCATTTTTTATTGGTTTTTAAAATAAATTGTGTGTAGTTAACTGAATAGAGTTTTAAAATTTATATATTATGGGACCACTACAAGAAAACTCGTCCCTTACTAGGACGGGTTTTCCTCGTTATTTCCTAGTAAATGGCTATTTACTAGGAAATAACTAGGAAACGCGTTTCGTCGAAACACGTTCATCGTAAATCCTTTTTCCTCATAAGGTCTTAGCAAATTTACGAGGACTCGTAACGTCGTGGTTAGCTTTTCCTCGTAAGGTCCTCGTAGAGTTTCCTCGTAAGCTCGTAGTAAGCTTTTCCTCGTAAGCTCGTAGTAATGCATTACGAGGAACTTACTAGAATTAATTACGAGGACATTACTTGGAAACTTTACGAGGATTTTGCTTCAAAATATTTTATTCCCTATTTTAAAAAATTAATTATAAATATAAATATTTTTTTAAAAATACAAAAAAATCAAATTATAAATAAAAATAAAAAACAAAATATTTTATAAATAACTAAATAATATACAATTAAGTTTTAAAATTCATAATATACAATTAAAAATAAAAAAAACTACGGATGCTGATCGTGAAATTGCCGAAGGAACTCGTCCTGGCTCGCCAAATCCTCTCCAAAGTTGGTTGCCGGCTGTGACTGTGATGGTGGATGCTATTGGGTTGGAATCCCTCCGCGTTCCCGTCTCTGATGAAACATCTCCTCCAATTGCGGGTTTCCAACCGCCAAAATGTCGAGGACATCTGTGAGAGAAGTCACATGCTCGGTGAGCGAACTCACATGAGACTGCGTCGTCTGCAACTCCGAGCGCAGCTGAGCATTGACATCGTGCTGCTCCTTATGATAAGACGATGTCGCTGCAGGGACATCGTTAACCGAGCCGATCCCAACGATACGCCTCTTTTTCCTAGGGGCGACCTGTAAATAAAAATATTAATGACATTAAGAAAAAATTTAAATAAATATTAAAAATTAATAGTAAAACAAATTATTTACCTCCTCGTAAATCTTATCCACTTCAAGAGTGGATAATACGACTGGAGTCCCAGTCTGCTGAGTCAGCTGGGTCTGGCGTTCGTCAACTCGGGCAACAACCTCGTTGTAGATCCGCTCGGAAGCCGGATCTACAAACTGCCCANGTAAAACAAATTATTTACCTCCTCGTAAATCTTATCCACTTCAAGAGTGGATAATACGACTGGAGTCCCAGTCTGCTGAGTCAGCTGGGTCTGGCGTTCGTCAACTCGGGCAACAACCTCGTTGTAGATCCGCTCGGAAGCCGGATCTACAAACTGCCCAGCCTTGTTCTGGTGGGTCCTCTCGTAAAGGTCTTTCAGAAATGGAAGAACTTCTGTCTCTTTAGCCTAAAAGTAATTTTTAAAATTAAATATTAATT